TCTCTTCACCTGAGTGAATGCATGCTCCATGCTTCCAGCCTCCAACACAGCAGCAGGCACACGACAGACACCCCGTCCCTATTTCTGACGCAAGATGGAAATGTTGTGTGATAGAGGCATCCGGCACACCAGCCCTCCTTGGATGGACTTCGACATTTAAAAAGGGCAAATAACGCCAAAGCAAGCAGAACAGTGATTATGCACTTGGGCTTAACACAGTTTTCAGACAAGCTCTGGGCAGCAGGTTCTCCTGTGAACTCAGGCGGATTCTCTTCCCTTTTGAGCTCTCTATTGTTTTGCCATTGTTTGCAACGCATTCAGAAACTAATTAAGTTTCAGGATCAGTTTGTCCTGTTAGAGAGTGTGGATATGCTGAAGTGGCTTTCTTTTTTTTTTTAAACTTAAATTATCTGAGTGAAAGGACAATTATAATTTGCTTCTAAAATTGACCAAAAGTCAGCTTTCATCAAAATAACTCCCAACAGACATTAGTCTCTGTAAAACCAGGATAGTTTATGAAAGGCACCGAAGAGGATTTAAATAGGCCTTGGAAAATGTATTGATAATCTGGCCATATTTTAATCCTGTTCTCTAACAGAGTGTGAAATTACTTGTTTACTCTACTTATCTGGGGCTGGGCGTAGCTCATCACGCCTTGACAGAGCCATATTTTGTGATCACCTTTCAGCAGTGAGCTTCTGCCAGGCCAAGGCCAAACAATTTGACTTCATTGGCTTATGTATTGCCTCCAAAGTCAAGGTCAGGACTGCTGTTACCTCTGGGCAGCCAGAGGAACTCATGAACTCCAACGTATCTGATCAGGGATTTCATTTGTGCATGGACAGGAAGGTAAGCCAGGACCTCGGTATATTTGTGAAAAGTTGGGAGTTTTATCTTCAGTAGCCCCACATTTCTTTGCTGTACCATACACCCCAGAAGTAAGGGTTTATGTTGGTTTCATCATCAGTCTAAAATATTATCAAGTTGAATACTATTGGGGATGCAATAAAGTATAAGTATTCCCTGACCTAAAAGAGTCTATGTATATTATATATATATATCAGAGACTAAGCACTGTGATGAAATAGGCCCTTTTGGCACTCTGCCCAGATCCCCTTTATCAAGTTAGTGCATTCATCCCCCAGTGCCTGTGAGTGTTAGCTGCTAATGGCTCACAGCTGCCTCTTTCTGGAGACTGACTGATTGCTCTCAGCCAATGGGGAGTAGCGGGAGGGACCAAACCTTAGAGGTTCTGCCTTTCCAACTGACATGACTGACTGACATGGGGGTTATAAGAGGCCGGACCCCTTTCCTTAAGGTGGGACCAACCCATGGTACAATTCAAGCTCCAGTGCCCCCCTTGGAACCATTCTGAACTAGACTTCTACAGGAACCACCTCCTTACTTCCTTCACTTCCTTCCTATCCTGTGTTCAGTTAATCAAATGTATCTAAATCCCTGTTTCAGGCTCCTCTAGAATGCTCAACTTAAAACTGGTGAGAAATTATTCCTCCCTGTGAGCCTGAATGAGCAAAAGGAGGAAACAATATCCCCACAGTGCAGTGAGAGCGGGAGCCTTGAAGACAGAGTTGCCTGAGAGGATCCAGGTCGTATAAAGACTTGGCCATGGCTAAGCATCAGGATAGGAATCGGGAAGAAATTGCATTCCTTATGTCAAACCTAACACGTGTCTTCGTCCATTCAAGCTGCTATAACAAAATACCATGGCCTGCGTGGCTTATAAACAATAGAAATTTATTCCTCCCAGTTCTAGAGGCTGGAAGTCCAAGGTCAGAGTGCCAGCATGGTCAGGTGATGACCTTCTTCTGGGTTGCAGACTTCTCCTTTGTAGCTTCACATGGCAGAAGGGCCTTGGGAGCTCTGTGGGATCTCTGCTATAAGAGCTCTAATCCCATTCCTGAGGGCTCCACCCTTATGACCTAATCACCTCCCAAAGGCCCCACCTCCTAATCCCACCATATTTAATGATTAGGGTTTCAACATAGGAATTTTGAGGGGACACAGATATTCAGACCATAGCAGCAGGATGCTAGCCAACAATGAGCCGGCAGTCAATAAAGGTCAGCCTCTTAGGTTTCTGAGCAGGAGAAGGGAGAAAAATCAACGGGAAATGAGTAATGACCAGCATAACAACAACATTAGACAGTCACAAACTTTTTTCTCTCCTCTAGTCCAACCAATATGGTTGGTACCATATTGATCTTTGTCAAATGATTATTTGATCATGTTCATTTCTCCAGCTCTCAATCCCCAAGTGTTTCCCTTTGCCTAAAGGAATGAACCATAAAATTTCTGGATCATATACTCAATTGGTTAAAAAATAAGTCTCTGAATATTTGACTTCACTAGCCTATGTAAATATATCCCCCTAGTTCATTTCTTTATTCATTGATAAACTATTTAAATTTACTGTCAACTAATAAATAGCTCAGTACACTCATAGTATAGGATATATCATGAATGATTATGCATGTAAACCCATATGTCAAGAAGCCTTCCTAGTAATTTTAAATTATTTTGCACAGCTTTTGACATATGTGATTAGATTGTCACTTTTGTTTTGCTATCTGCCTTCCGAACATGTCAGAGTTATCAGCTAACGTGTATGAATACTTTAACAAACTACTGACTTGAGGGCTGTTTGTGTGCTCCTAGGTGGAGGGTGGTATGCTCAGATTGTGTGGGCTGCAAAGACAGAATGAATTGAAGGGGTCTAGTAGAGCTTTGATCTTGATAGTAATAGTGGGAAATCTAAGAGTTCCAGCTGGCAGTGGGAGAATGAATGATTTAATCCTGAAAGCAGTCAGATTACAGTAACAATAGCTCCAATTTTGGAGCATCTACTACCTACCTGACATTGTGTTAACTGCTTTACATATGTTTCATCTACACTTTATAACAACTCTTCAAGGTAGGTCTTACTATGAGAGAGATTATTAAGTCCCCTGCTCAAGGTTATATGGTTAGTGAGTAGAGAAGCCAGGATTTGAAATTGGAAAGAACTGTATGTCTCCTTGACAGCCTTTTATTCATTACACGTCACAATTAAGACTAGGCATTAGAGATGTGCTGTTGTATATAAAAACTTGTGTTCTATAGAAAGGTGGGTCTAGAAAGAGAATGAATGAAGGGAGTGAATCTGAAAAGGCTACGTACTGTATGATCTGAACTGTATAACATCCTGGAAAAGGCAAAACTATGGAGACAGTAAAAAGATGAGTGGTTGCTATGGTTTGGGGAGGTTTTAATAGGCAGAACATGGAGGATTTTTAGGGCAATGAAACTATTCTGTATGATACTGTAATGGTAGATACCTGTCATTATACATTTTTCCAAATCCATGGAATGGACAACATCAAAAGTGAACCGTAATGTAAACTGTGGACTTCGGGTGATTATGATGTGTAAATGTAGATTCATCAGTTGTAACTATAGTACCACCACTCTGGTGAGAGATGTTGATAATGGGGGAGGCTGTGTATGGGTGAGGGCAGGAGGCATATGGAAAATCTCTGAGTCTTTCTCTAAACTTTTCTATGAACCTAAAGCAGCTCTAAAAAAATAGTCTTTAAGAAAAAGAGAGAGGGAGAGAGAGAGAGAGAGAGAGAGAGAGAGAGAGAGAGAGAGAGAGAGAGAGAGAGAGAGGATGGACATGGGTATGAGCCTATAAGGATAGGGATGGTTAGATGAGATAACAATGCCCCCCAGAAATAGGAGAGGCCACTCACTCAGAGCTGCAGAAGAGCAACGTGGATTGCAAGGAGCCAATTAATACATCAGAAAAAGCAGAATCCAGGAAAACATTGATTGAAGAATAAGCTGCCCTTATCAAAAGGTTGATAAAGAATTCACATCACATTTCCCACATAAGCCATCTTCCCCCTGGTCTGTTCGCTCTCTCCATTCACTTTTTCTAAATTGCATTTCATATACAATATGTTCTGTCATCTATGTCGCTCTAATAATTGGTCTGCTCACAACCTATAAAATATAGGAATAATAATGTATTAAGCTGTGCATTTATGATTTGTGTATTTTCTGTATATGAAATAATAGTTATTTAAAAATAGAAGGAAAATATGATTCTGTATGGAGGTTGAAATAAATCAAAGATATCGTTGTATCCACTGTTCCTTGGTAGATTCAAATAATTATCCAGCTAAAGGTTTTATACATGGTAAAAATAACATTGGGCTAAATGATAGAAAACTGGTATTGCAGCCCCAGCTTTGCCATTAGAATAATTGTGTGACATGGGTAAGGCGCCAATCCTCTCTGAGCTTGAAGTTTCCCATATGTAAAAAAACCCCAAATGTCCCAAAGTCCGTATTAATGTTCGGTATGGTTGAAAATACAGCAACTCTTATCTTTAAACTAATCCCACAACACATACTAAACAAAGAAACATACAAAACAGAATTCCAGCTCCTCTCCAATGATAACTTTCCCTGACCTGGTATTTTAGAACAGAGTTTGGAAAACCTTTTCTGAAGAGGGCCAGATAGTAAATATTTTAGGCTATGCAATCCATGCAGTCTCTGTTGCAACTACTCAACTCTGCAACTGGAGTGAAAACAACCACACACAATATGTAAATGAGTGAGCATTCCTGTGTTCCAATAAAACTTTATTCACCAAAATGGGTGGTGAGCCAGATTTGGCACACGGGCCGTAGTTTGTCCACTCCTGTTATAGGATGTAACTTTTTGGCATTCAGTGCAATTCCCCTTCAGCATATATAGGCAAGAATATATGTTCAGAATAAGTAGATAAATAGGGCACTAGAGTGTTGGGCTGTGAAAGAAATCAAAGAAAGAAAGAAGGAAGGAAGGAAGGAAGAGAAGAAGGGAGGGAGGGAGGGGAGGAGGAAAGGAAAGAAAAAAGGAGAAACATGGAGAGCAAAGCCGAGAGCCTTGTGATAGAGCACTGGGAGAGAAAATTCCAGTGACATCTGCCATGAAGGAGGGGCGCTGTCAGAGTGGAAGGGTTGGCTTTGGTGTGGAACTAGCAGCTAAGTTTGGAGAGAGCAGCTGGAGAGAGAGAGAGAGACAGAGAGAGAGAGACAGAGAGAGAGAGACAGAGAGAGAGAGACAGAGAGAGAGAGACAGAGAGAGAGAGAGAGAGACAGAGACAGAGAGAGACAGAGAGGCTGAGGCATGGCTATCGCCCTGTGAATGAGGTGGTGAGATGTACTCAAACCTAATATGGTGGGTGCCATTACCAAGAGGAGACTCACGGAATTGTGGAAGAAGGGGAGGAGGAGGGAGAGATTATCCTCCTTTTATAGATGAAGAGATTCCACTTAGGGGACCAATGCCACTGGGGTGGAGGAAGCTGTTCCCATTGTTCTTAAGGCATCTGTAAGGAAACAGAATTCCATTAGGAGGATGTTGAATTTTGCTCCTGAGAGAAACTTCCAGTGTCTTTACAGAAGGTCCAGTCTTCCTCAGAGAAGGTGGCCTCTGGGGGACCCCTGTAGCCCTGGACCTCCTGATGCAAAGTGTTATTGAAAGGTTATCATTTGGAGATGGGATAGGGCTGCAGTGCCTATTTGTGGCTGCAGTTTCCTGAGTCCAGTATCAGACGCTTTGTGCTTTTCCTCTCCCACAGTCAGTCTGCACCTTGCTTTCCGCCTTTTGATTCTGAATCCTGATGTTGCAGGTAGGAAGGAGCGGGGAAGGCACAGGTGAGAATGAATTTAGGCACTGGGGCAGGAAATCAGATTCTGGACCTCTCTCTTGGAGCTGGTTTCTGGAAGCCATCTTGAGAAGATGGGCCAGGGTTTAGGGAAGAGAAATTTGGACTGTTTCTTCAAGTGGGGCAGTATACATCTCTGTGTTATCTATCACACCCAAGGAAAAGGGGAGCTGGATTTTTAAGGAGTCTTAAAACTTGGAATGTGATTAAATTGGTTAACCAACAAACCTGTAAAATTTCACACAATTGATGCCCTTAATATAGGACTAGATTATAGTTTGCAGTCTATTGCACTAATTCATTAATTTTATTTCACAGACTAAAAATTTTACTATGCAAATGTATGCAAATCATATAGGAAAATAGTGTTCTTAGCCAAATGCACCAGTACCTATAGGGATTTTTGTTTTGTTTTGTTTTTTGTGTTTTTTGGGGGGGGGTTGTTTATTTGTTTATTTCACTGGAACTGTGCCACTGGGGTGGAAAGTGAGAATAAATACATTCAATATTTGAAATGGTGTGTTGAACAATTTCCTGAAGGGTGATGGAGAAGCTTTCTCCTTTGACAAATATTGCCGTGATTGGCATGTCTTTTTTTCTTTTTTTCTTGCCTAACACAGAATGAAGAAGATGAGCAACATTTATGAGTCTGCTGCCAACACTCTGGGAATCTTTAACAGCCCCTGCCTGACCAAAGTTGAGCTGCGTGTGGCCTGCAAAGGCATTTCGGACAGAGATGCCCTTTCCAAGCCAGACCCCTGTGTCATCCTCAAGATGCAGTCCCATGGGCAGTGGTTCGAGGTAAGCCTGTCTAAACATATGGACAGAAGTGCAGCCAGAGGGCTGGTTCAAAATATGTTTTGGCATATTCTGTCTTTCGGTGGTTTATTTTGATGAGATGGAAAATTCTAGAAATGAAACGTTCACGATTCTGCTTGTATCAAGATGTTTTGATGTGACTGTTTTAGTGCTGTGGGTATTTTGACCGTTTACCCTTAGTCTGTGTGCTCATTGTGGTCATGGTGGTCCCTGGGGAGGGCAGGGAGGACTTCTTATCAGGGACCGCATCACACAACATTCATTTTTTGGAGGGAGAACTTAATATAACTAAACTTAATTGGGTGCTTATCAAGTGCCAGGCGCTGTTCTAAGTGCTTTATGTAGAATAACTAATTTAGTTTTCACACCACTTCTATGAGGAAACAGAGACAGAGCCATCGGTTAAGGATGTGCCCAAGATCATTCAGATGGTAAGTGGAAAATCTAATATTTTCATCCACCTAGCCAGTAGAGCTCCTGAACCTGAGCTCTTCAATGCTATTTTATACTTATGGTGGCACCTGTGTAGCCTGATGGCTTGTGTGGTGGCAATATTGCAGGTTGAACTCTGCAGCTGGGTTTTGTTTATTTAAAAGTTGAAACAAATTGGATGAGGGCTGGTTTTCAAGGTTTTTTGTTTTTCTCTTTTTCACTTCTAGCTCCCTGGTCTAAGTAAGCTATGCTTCTAAAGATCTGGTGTGAGGCGAATGGGGGGATAGGGAGGAATGGGGTACAGCAGAGTAAGCAGTTATCATCATTTCAAAGGGAACCAGATAGTGGGTAGATTTTGGATACAGGGTTTGAAGCCATGCTGCGTAGAGAGAAGAGTAGACAATTATCTGCTTTGGATCCCCATGGACAAACTTTTCAAGCCTTCAATACTTCTACCTGTTCGCAAATAGTTGGAAGGTCTCTTGTCTTCCACTGCACAGTAGAAAGAAGGCTCAAAAGACTCTAGAGAGAGTGCATTTGCTTATTTGTACATACGTAATCAAAGCCACTTCTCTGAAAGGGAGGTTTGATAGGGCCTGGTGAGCAGATGTGTTCAGGTGAGCAGGCACCGTGACAGACGGGCAGGCGGGGATCCTAGTTTACCTTCAGGCTCCTGTTGTAAACATAAAGCAGCATTCACAGGCATCTTTAATGTATAATGTGCTTTTTTTTCCTTCTAAATATTCTCATGACTATGGTAGTGGATTTTATTTAACAAAACTAAATGAATTACCTATGTTAGAAAAAGCCACTCTTTGAAAATTAGAAGAAAGAAATCCATTCCTAATACCCTCTTTTATATAATTCAATTATGACACTTGATCCTTTCTTTTCAGTTTTGTTCGTCTGGCATTCATGTTATGATTCTTATCATACATGGAAAATTTTCTTTTCTGATTTTATGACCTAGTTCATATATGCTTTTCCCATAGCACTATAATATTCATAATTGTAATTTAAGTAAACTGCATGATATCCCATGAAATGGGTTTATTTAATCATTTTTCTGTTTTTTCACTTTGAAGTTGCTTCCAAAAATAACCTATTTTAAATCATGCTGCAGTGAACAGCTTTGCGCGTAAGGCCTTTTTCCTTATTTTGGGATGAGTTCCTAGGAGAGATTCTGCTAAAGTGAAGCTAGTGGGACACAGGATAGGCCACTTGGGGGGTTTTTGATACATATTGCCAAATCGCGTTTCCAACATGTTCTATTCCAGTGTTACTCAAAGTGTGATGTACACATAGCTACCAGTCCACAAACTTTTTATTACCAGTACCCAGTGACATAAGAAAGTTGTGCCACAGTGTAAATTGATTCACTGCTTCCTTCACCTAGAAAGTCTTACTCTTTATAAACCATCATGTCAGCTGAAGTTCCAGCATACTTCATGATATGGCTGGTTTTTATGCCAGCACTTTGAAAAACTCTTCTCTGATAGATTTTATACTCTTAACAATAAACATTCAGGGTACAGCTGGGAAAACAGAGCCCAGGCCAGGTAGTTAATAGAACGGATTTAAGTCAAGTAAGTAACCAGTAAAAAGAAGTTGGAGATGCTAAGAAACTAAGTGGGACTGTGAGGGAACCCAAAGCTTAACCTTAGGGACCTGCTACTTGCTTGGGGTCAGCAGTAGTGTGCTGAAGCCAGCTTGTATAGGCTTTACCAGAGTTGATTGTGAAACATTCAGGCATTGTGCAAGCCCAGAGTATGAGTATGTACACCACAGACATTCGCAAACATTTCAAATCAGGCTTTTTCTCCCCTCCCCTCCAGAAACAGTTAAACACTTACCAGCATAGGGACAAAAGGAGATAGTGATACTGGAACCAAAGAGCTAGGCCGCCTAGCAGAAGCTAGATTCGTGGAAGGAGGACCTACCTGGTGGGAGCTGGAAAGACAGAGGAGCTGCAGATAGGGCTGGAAATGCCTGAAAGGGAGATAAGGACACCTCTTTCTTCTTATCTCTCTTGGGAGATAAGAATACATCTCTCTTCCTGTCATTCTCTGGTCTCCTGTCGGTACCTTCCATTGACCAAGCCTTGATGGAAGCCAGTTGGCAAGGTTTGCAGGGAAAGGGTATAGAATGTATATGAGAGCAAAGAGGTAAATGATTGTCACATAAACCTTCTGACATCTCTTAGGAACTTGGAGAATCATTTACCCTCTCATGTAGTGCGTATTTATTTAGTGCTAACACATGCTTTTCAGTACAAATTCAGGAAGTAGTCCTATGTTACAAGCTAGAAGCCCCTGACAGTCTATTTAAGCCTTACAAGTACTACTATTTGTGTTTAGTGAAGGCTAGCAAACATGAATAGTCCACTGGGACAAGATTTATTGATAGGTGAGCTTTCCTGTATCTAACCCCTAAACAATGTGTGAATTTACAGAGAGATTTGTATGTACAGAATTACAGAATCGAGAGCAAACCTTGCACCAGAAAATTCATGTTAGCTGTGTCAGTTCCTTGAATGTCTTAGTTATAGGGAATCTGGTAGTTGACTTAAGTGAAGGAAAAAAGAATAAATTGAGAGGCCAAGCTGATTTGCATAATGACGAGATTGTTGGGGTGGGGGTGTTAGGATGAGAGAAAAGCAAGGTGAGCTTATTTTTCATAGAGAATTTTAAAATTTGGCAAAAGAGGCTCTATCTAGATGGACATTGTTCAACAGAACTCCCTGCAATGATGGGAGAGTTCTCTATCTGCTCTGTCTAATGATGTAGTCACGAGCCACATGTGGCTGGTGAGCACTTGAAAGGTGGCTTGTGTAACTGAAAAACTGACATTTTTAATAGATCCAGAGTATCTTTGGTGTGCTAGAGAATTTGATAGAGTTGGGGAGAAGAGGAAAGTGAGTTTGTAAAAATGTTACTGCAGGCTGTTAATTTTATAGCTTAAGTATTTTTAGGGGAACTGTAACTAGAGATTGACATTTTCTTTTTGTTACTTATGATTGCTGGCCTGTGCTTTTTCTAATGGGATTCCATCAGGGAAAGGACCCCATTATGCCCTGATTTACAGCTCCGGTTACTGCTGCAATAGTTAGAACTGCCTTCACATGGTCTCCCATGTGGAGGGGAACTGTTTGCTCATTTAATTGGCCATGTGTAGCCTGTGTTAGCAATGGAAGAGAACATTTGACCTCTAAAGTGGATCATAAAAATGTAAGCCTGAACTTTAGACTCAAAAAGACCTACAGTCTGACCTTCTGTGCTGTGACTAGTACTGAATCGATGAGGACACATCTATATGTCTAAAATATCGGAACTCATGTGCTCTGAAATGCACAACAGATTGTTGCTCTTTGTAGACCAGCAGGACTTGGGACATAAGTCAGAGGACTGAGAAGACAAAGAGGATGCTTTTGTTTCTTCCCAGAATACAGAGATGGATTGGTGCATTTAGTGGGTGAAACTTTCAGTAAACCTTTACTGGCCATGATTGTAACTGTAAGAAAGAAAGGGAGGGGGAG